GCCGGTCTGTATGTAGGATCCGAACCCTTGGCGGGAGCGCCTCCGCGCGTCCCAAGTGGCGCACTAGCACAGTGCGCCACCGGGCCGGCCCTATAATTTGATTTTTAATAATGGTTGTATGTAACAACTGGCTTACAAAATTCGTGACCATGTGACCAACTGCTGGCTCTCACCAGCTGGTCCAAGCCGACTCCAGCCCACCACTGCCTCAGTGCCTCCTGTATGGGCCACAAGCACACCAGACTCACTGTGTGATAAGCTAGCTGGGCTTTGCCTGCCCCATGGCTGTCCGTGTCATCCTCCCTGGGGCGAAGCCAGACTTCTCTATTTTCTCTCATAGAGATCCTCTTTGAATCAGCCCCAATCCCAGGGGCTAGTTTCAGGCAAAGCTTTGAGGTGGATGGTTTTGCCTCAGGTGATCTCAACTCCCTTTTAGCTGGCCCCTCCCCTCCGGCCTGCCTTCGAAGGAATCTTCTGTTGCCCAGACTTTCATCCCTCCTCGAACCCTGCCCCTTCACAGCCAGCCTCCTGCCCCCTCAGGACTATGCCTGGCTGTGCTGTCCGTGGCTGACAGTGAGCTCCCTGTCCTGTCCAAGGGGACCTTCCTTCTTACATTGAATAGGGTCTTCAGGCTTGAGCAGAGGCTGCCAAGGTGGTCATGTTCACACCCTGACCCCAACCCCTTCCCTGGATCCCTGGGTCTCACCATCTCCTCTGACAAGGCCTTCACCATCATCTTGCCCATCTTCCTGTTCATGGTTCGGGAAATCACTGCCCTCCACTTCTTCCCCAGCTTTTTGCCGCTCTTTCCAGCATCCTCTGGGGTAGGGATACCTGAGTCATCTTCTGGAATCTGTGACAACAAAAGAGGAGGCCCAGGGACCCTGGTGACCCTGCCTGGGTCCAGGACCTGGGGCAAAATGAGGCCTTTGGGTCACGGCAGAGGCCAAAGGGCATGGGATTGAGAGGACACCATCCATATCCTCCCCCTTTAGCCCCAGTCTTGTCCTCAGCCATATCACTCTGTAACTAATATTCCATTTAATTCGTAACTGAAAAGAATGCAGGTGAGTGCTTGGGGCCCAGAATTTTGGTGTGCAGGAGAGCTGGGCCTTCTGTGTTAAAGGAGGTTTTGCCTCAACAATCATATCTCCTCTTCCCCCTCCTTCCTCCCACTCCTATCCCACCACCCCGAGACTGCAGCCAGATCCCCAAAGGAGGCTCTGAAACTCACGTTATCATCCAGATTAAATTCCTTCTCGCTCACAACAGGGGAGCTGGGTTTGGATTTGGCAAAATCCTTGAAGCTGCTGGAGCGCTGAAGGGAGAGCTGGAAAAAGCAGAGGTGTTGCAATCAAGTGGTGCTAAAATGGCTGTCAGGATGACCTGTTCTTCTCCCACCCAACACTTCCCCCGCAGGGCTGGGCAGAGCCACATGTGCCCTAAAGACCCAGGGCTAATGAGATGAAGTGCCTAGATGTTCTTGGAGCTACCTGGCTTTATCTTGTTCATCAGCCTAACCCTGGCCATCGACCAAGCTCCTGGACTCAGGAGCCTCAGACCTCAGTCAAACCTCAGACTGAGCCCAAATTTCCACCAGTACCCGAAGTTTGGTCCCCAGAAGCCTGGAGTGAAAGACTAAATGAGTCAGCGTAAACGTATTTCTGCTGGTAGAGACATCCCCCAGCACATAGGAGAGCATCACGGTTACTTAACTGAGAGCAAATCCCTCCCAAACCCTGCAGCACTGGCTTTCACACCTTGGACCTGCTGTAGGCATGGTCTCCCATCACGGAAAACGTATGGGGGCCTCCAACCTGATGAATTTGTGTCCCAAGAAGAGCGAGACAATCTGGCCAGAAGCCAGCAAGACACAGCCTTACACTTTCTGGAAAACCATAGTAGAGTCTTACAGAAGGTGCTCACAGATTTGGGACACAAATAAATGATTTCAGTTAATTTAGTAAGAGAAAGCTGCTATTTTCTCTTTATTCATCTCAGCTTTTAACCTTAGCCACCAATGTGATGAGCCGGCACCTGTGATGTTGGCCGGTGTTTGGACCATTATGCATGACCTATTGTTTGTGTTGACTAGACTGTTCACAGGAAATGAGATTTCTTAACTGTATACACATCCACATGCCAAGATAGCAGGCAAAAGCCAGGGCAAGGCAGGTGAGGGGGCAGGCCTTAAACACAAAAAGTTGGGGCTGAGCCCGTACCGATATAAACAATTAATACCAGAAGATACATACAGGAACTAGGGTTCACAGATGGCCAGACAGATGGAGCGGGATAGACTGCAGACACCCGAGATAAAGACTTGAGGAACTGAAGCCTCAAACCCACACAAAGCTGAAGGTTTCACATCCTCTTTCCTTCTAAAGTGGGTATGTGTCCAGTGACAACCCTCCCAGGAGAGGAGCGTTGTCACCTGCCCACCAACACACACACAATTGGCCCCAATTCCTGGGGACTGCAGTGGAGCAGTTTAGCACTCTTGGATCTTGACCAAAGCCAAAGTCAGCAGTTGGGGACCAGAGGCCACACATTCCTAGAGGTCACAGAAAGGGAGTTTACCAGAAACTAGGTTAGCGGTCAGGCCAAGCAGACGGTAGCACCATCAAGGGCCTCATGGGTGGGGTGCATGCAGCCGCAGTCAGAAAGCCTCCTCTGTGCTACATTGGGGAGCTGGAAGAGGGGGCTGTAAGTGGGCATAACAGAGGGGAAAGTGTGACCGTGGAGTGACTGCTCTGGTTCCCATGCATCTCCTTCATCCTCCTTCCTTGGTTTTCCCTCCCACTATTCTTTCCTCTTTCTCTCCCTTTCTCTCCTCCACCATCCGTTTATTTCCTCCTCTTGTATGGCTAGGATGCAGCTGCCTGGATAACTTCCTCCTCTTATTGCATGGAAAAGAGGGAACAGAGAGAGGGTGGGCACTGGGCTGGCCTGGGCCCAAGGAGGGCAGGCTGGGCTGCTATTTATGGGCCAACAGAGCCTATTGTGGCCTTCTCTCCACCACCTCTCAGCCTGGTCTGCAGACCAAAGAGTCGTCCCTGAAGCCCCAGGGACTGGTGTGGCTGGAAGGCAAGCAGGAGGGCAGGCGTGGGGCCGGACGTAGGCTTTGTTGGGGAAGAGTAAACTCACTGCGCAGCCGCCCTCTAATTGCAGCTCCTTTCCGAGGCCTTTTCCTGTCATTAATCTGCAGTCTGGAGGCTGGGAGGAGGGGCCTTTGTCTGAGGCCCTCGTGTGAGGGCCCCTCTATCCCAGCTTTACCTTTGGTGGTGCTGAGGGTTGGGCCCAGCTGGCCGCTCCACAGTGCAGGGAGTGGAAGGACTAACACACGTTTTCTGGGTGATCAAGGGTGAAGGCCGGCCAGGGTGGCCTTTGCCCAGGCCTCTCACCCGGTTTCAGAGGCAGCCCCAAACATCCTGACTGCCATTCGGTCAGAGATACTCCGCCTTCCCTAGGGACAAGTTGAATCCTCAAGCCTGTCTGGGTTTCCTGCCTGTCTCCCTTTGTGGTGAGGACTTCCTGGGAGTCCTGCCTGGCGGGCAAGGTGGTACCATACCTTTTTCATGTCTAAGGGGAGCATGTGGGCCTCTCGGAAAGAGCCACGTTTCTGTATCAGACACTGACGAGTTCAATTCTGGGATGTGTGACCTTGGCGAGTTATTTAACCTCTCTGAACCTCGTTTTCTTCACATGGCGTCAGGTGGCAAGGGGTCACATCTTGGTTCTGCCACTGCCCACCTGTGTAAAGCTGGGTAAGTTATTTAACTTCTTTAGACTTCTGTCTCCTCGGCAGTAAGATGAAGACCAAAGCACCTACCTCATGTGGTTGCTGTGGAGCTGAGACAAGCGGGTGCACACACAGGCTTAGAACATTGCCTGACACAGCAGTCCCTCACCCAGTGTCGGTCTATGCTCAGCCTTCCTGCCACCCACCTTCCGACTCTTACTCTGGCATTTCCACATCTGGAATACTCTGCCTCTCTCTCTGTCAACCATAGTTTCTCCCTTTCTTCAAATTCCAATTTAACTGGAAACAACCCAAATGCCCATCAACTGTAGAATGGAGAAATTAATTGTGGCAGAGTCATACAAGAGAATAGTACTCAACAATGAGGTAGTACAATTATCCCCAATGATATGGATGAGTCTCACAAATATACTGTCAAGCAAAAGGGGCCAGCCACCAGAGAGTATATGGGTCCACCTCCATAAAGTTCAAAACCCGGCAGAACTCATCTGTGCTGTTGGAAGTCAGGATAGTGGTTACCCTTGGGGAAAGGGGGCGTGTAGTGACTGGCAGGGGCATGAGGGAAGCTTCTGGACCTCTGGAAGTGTTTTGTTTCTTGATCTGGGTGCTGCCTACATGGGATGCTTGCTTAGGGAAACTCAGAGTGGTGCACTTATGATTTATGCTTTTCTCTGAAGGGATGTTAGACTTCAATAAAAAGGTTTCTTAATTCCAGGTTAAAAGGCAGCACCCCTGCAGAAATCCTCTTCTGACCACCCCTCAGAGCCTACACTGCCCCAGTAGGTGTCTTCTTCCTCTGCTTCCTAAGCAAACTTGGCCTTCCCCAGGCATCGCCGAACCACCCTCTCAGCTCATTGTACCTGGAGCTCAGGCCTGGCCTCTGTGTATGTGGGAGTCCAGCAACAAGGGGTCAGACACTTCCATGTGCCCCGCACACTGCCAAGTGCTTCATGGGTGGCAGCTCGCTCCAGCCTCACCACGACCCCATGTCACATCCCCACCTCACAGCAGAGGAGACTGAGGTGTGGAGAAAGGAAGTATCCTAGGCAGGGTCACACAGCTGGTTGAAGGTAGAGCAGTTCAAACCCAGGTCTGTGACTCTAGAAGTCTGTGCATGTTGCTGTGCTCATGACACCTCAGAGCCCATGCTCTTGTCCTCCCAACCCCCCACCTCCCAGTATGGAAGTGGATTGAATGCAATGCTGACTGTGGGTGGTGCTTCAATGGAGCTATGAGGAGAGCAGGTGGGAGCGTGGAGGAGGAAGGGCTCAGGAGGGCTTCGTGGAGGAGGTGCGTTTGAGCTGGGCCATGCAGGGGAGCCAGGATGTCGCCAGGTGGAGCTGGGAAGGGTTTGAACAAGAGTGAAAGTTAGGGACGTTCCTAGCAAAGGTGGCTATGGTGGGAGGTGGAGCAGAAAAGGTCATGGAAGGCCCTTGGTAGCAATGCCAAGGCACTTGGGCACTACCCTGTGGGCCATGAGGAGCTACTGAAATATGAACTGCATGCTGGGGGTGTTATGCTAGAGGTATGCTCTAGGAAGGGGGCTGTGGGGCGAGCAGCGTGCCAGGTCTGGGGACAGGAAGAGACTGGGAAGAGGGACCAGTTGAACCCTCTAAAGGGAGCCTAGATCTTCTCCATTTCTCCTGGTGGGAGGTCTGGGGTTGGTGGAAAGTGGGCGTGTGGTGGGGTAGGATCATCCTTAGGGGAGGCAAGTCCAAGACAAACCCCTTTCCAATTCCTACACCCCAGCACTGGCCTTTGGGTGAAATCAGATCAAAGGGAATGCAGAGCGAGAATGTGAAGGAGGTGAAAATCTCCAAAGGGCACCTAAGGAGTATGTTGCCTGACCTGGGGCTCCCCCAATCCTTCCTCATCCACAGTAGGTGCCATGTCCTGACCCCACCATCCAGAAGGGCCTGCTCCCTCCTCTGCTCTTCTGGCTGGAAGATCACTCACGCCACAGGCCTCTGGGTTGAATCTTTTATGCTCATCAGACTCTTCTAGTGATTTTGAGATCAGTAGGGGCACAAGAGAGTGGAGAGAAAAGAGGTTAAAACTCTGGAGTCAGACAAATCTTGGCTTGGATCCTAGCTCTGAGGCCTACAAGTTGTGTGACCTTTGGCACGTCACTTCGCCTCTCTGAGCCTCGGGTATGAACTAGGGATAATGAAAATATCAGCCCCTACCTTGCAGGGTTGTCATGAGGAGTCAGTGAGCTAAGAGATGGTGAAGTGCACAGCACAGTGCCTGGCACCGATGATTCCTCCCTTAATAGTGCTATTAAGCCTCGTTTTGTCCACTTCAAGGCTGGGGCCATGGCTCATTCTTTTTTGCCTTGTGTCCCTACCCCCACCCATGCCTATAGTACACATGCGACAGAGCACTCTCACATCTACTGTTCCAGGTAATCATACAACCTCCTGAGGTGGGCAGATCAGGACTTCTCCCTTTCCTCAGAGATGAGGAACCTGAGGCCCAAAGAATGTGGTAGGATTCCAACTTTTCCTGTCCCCTCCCGGCACACTCTCCACTTGGCAGTCCAGGAGGAGAAGCAGGGGCAGGAGTGAGATGCCTCCCTTGCCTTTGTGCTTTCCACACCACCATGTCACCTCAGCTTCCAAGAGGAAGGGACTTGCCCAAGGTCATCATGCCAGCAGTGACAGGGCTGGGCCACTGCCTCCAGGCCTGGGAAAGATGCTGTCTCTACCTTCAGGACACTTGGCTTTTCTAAGGGCATTTCCACAGCGTGGGGCTTGGAGAGTGAGTGGGGGAGAGCTCATCTTGGCTCTGGAGGCTGGCACAGGCTCTGGCAGGGGTGGGTGGGGTGTGTCTGGACTACTTGCCCTTAAAAGACGTGGACTTCAGAGTGCCTACATGGCCTTGCTTCTCCTGGGAGAGCCTGGGGGAAATCCCAGAGGCCCACCTGCCAAATGCAGAATCTGGGTATTTGAAGCTGGAAAAGAAGAAGGGGACTTCTTCTGGCTTCTGCGTGCCCCTAGGCACCTCCGCCTGAGGTGGCACAGGGTCCCAAGGTTAAAGTGTCAGCTCTTTCTCAGACTTTTTCCTCCAGCTCAGCTCCCTTGTGGTTTGGGGCCTAGCAGTGCCTGTAGAGCAGACTCTGCTTCACACCCCCACCGGGCAGAGAGCTAAGGGAAGTGGCCCCACTTGCTGAGCAGTGGCAGCCAATGGCAGGCCTGCTGGGCCTAGCACCGTGCAGGGTTTGACTGAGGTGACAGAGACCGTGTGAAGATTCATGAATGTCCCCCTCCCCTGCCCACCACCACTGCAATCTTAGAGAAGCAGCTGGGGTGGGGAGAGTACTGCCGGAAGTGGCAGCTACCCCAGAACCTGAGAGATGAGGCAGGATGCACACCCCAGTGCCCTGAGGCTCAGTCTTTCAGCTGCCTCTGCCTACACCTGGGAGCTGCTCCCTTCACAAGGGAGCTCCCCCATAGGGCACCTGGGCTGAGCTCCAGGGAAAACTGGCAGGGTACAGCGAGGGCCTGGAAGCCCCGGACGTTGGCCTGGGCCTTTTGGGCCTGGTTCAGGCCTGCTTTGGGATGGTCTTGCTGGATGTGCGAGAAGTATTTGCTGATTGCCTGGAAGAATCCTACACTTGAGTCAAAGAATTAAGTCTAGAAATCCTCAAATCCAATCAGAGAAACCTAGATCTGGCAGAACCTTCAAGGAACCTTCTAGTCCTGCCTCTGCCCCAGCAAGATGAATACCTCAGCTGTCCATGACAGCTGCTTTTCTTCCTGGCCTTAAAATCTCCGCACTGAATTTTCTCTCCTCAGCCATCACTCCTGCTTGCCATCCCATCAGCTTCATTTCTCATTCCTCATGCACAATTTCTCCCTGCCTGGGAAGAACCATATGGCCTCTGCATCCCATTGCAGTTTCAGAGGCCCCTTCCCCCAAGTCTAGAAATCACCTCAGGCCCCATCGCCAGTGGGCCTGGGAGCTGCCACAGAGCTGAGCTGAGCGGGCAGGGTCCGGGCCACGGCTGAAGGGCGGGGGCCCTGGAGCATCATGGCTCCAAGCTGAGTGGCCCAGCGGGGCCCTTTGAGGGAGATGGCTTCTGAGAGGCCATGCTTGGGTAGAAGTGGTGGCAGGACCAATGCAGGGGACAGAGAATTAAGTGTAGTCTTTAGATTCAACTTGAACATTGTATTTTGTAATTCTCAAATTCTAGTCTTGGATTCTGGCCCCTAATTTTAGGTCTTTATCCCATCATTGTAGAGTTGAATTCTGTAACTCTAGACTTCTAAGAGTCTATTCTATAATTCTGTTACTCCAGAATTTTAAATCTCTTCTGTACTTCTGTTACTCTAGTAATCTTTGGACCTTTGTCCCATTGCCCTCTGGGAGAATGGCCCTCACCTACAGACTCAGCATATGACCTTTGGCTCTTCCCACTTCTAAGAGCCCTGGAGGGGATGGGTCGAGAGAGTAGAGGAGGTAAGGATGGAGTGGGTTCCCAAAGACGTTCTCACCTTTTTCTTCTGAGTGGGCTCCTTCTCACTGGCGTTGGAGGGCTTGCGGCGCAGCATGGTCCTCCACCCTGAGGAGACTCCGTCCCTGCTCTCCTAGGTGTCAAGATGCTGAGGCCTCTTGCTCAGCCTCGCCAGTGCTGTCCAGGGAGCACGGCATGGACCGAGCCTCCAGCTGCCACTGTGACTGCTGCAGTGGCAGCTTGGGGTGCGGGCCATGGACACCGGGCGGCAGCAGCATACAGGAAGCCCTGCCACGTGACCTGCTCTTACAGCAACTGCAGCCCCTGCTGGCCCCTAGGGAGGAAGGAAGTCCCAGCTTCAGTCTCCAGAGATTCTGATGCAGACGGCTCTTGGGTTGAACAATCAGAGAAAAGTCCCTACCTTGTCGTCTCATGTTAATCATCACGAGTCCTTTTGTTTCATCTCTCAGGAGATGGCCAATCAACTTGACACTATATGGCCAACTCAAGCCCTTTATCTCACTGGCCAGAATCCAGAAACTAGAATTTGGACTCTCTTTGTCTGTTGTATCAATGTTCCTGGTCAAGTTGCATCTCCAAGGTCGTCACTGCCATTACTGCCACTACCGTCACCCCTACGGCTGTCACCCCTACGGCCATCACCAGTGCTACCATTGCTCCTCTTGAGAGCCTTCACCCCTACCGTCATCATCCCTGCAGCCAGCGCTATTGCTGTCAGCACACCTACAATCATCATCACTACAGCAACCACCTCTACAGTCAACAGCTCTCAGCCATCACCTTTACAGTCATCACCATTGCCACTATCACCTATCACAGCCATTGCCCTTACAGATGCCATCACTACAGCCAATCACCTCACCGATGCTCTCATCCCTACGGCCATCAGTCCTACAGCCACCCACCCTACAGTAGTCATCACTTCTCAGTTGTCACTCTACAAATAATCATCCCCATTGCCATCAGCATACATACAGCCATCATCACTAGAGCAGTCACCCTACAGTCCACACTCCTTGGCCATCACGAGTGTATGTATTTATCACCACCACAGCTGACAAGCATTTACAGGCAACCCCATGCCACCAGCAAATGTCCCGTTCAGAGCAGACATTTATCAAATGCCTATGAAGTATTTTCACTTTGTGGATTATCTGTGGCAGACATTTTAACAACTTGAGTAACTTATCACAAAAACAATTTTGTGTTCATCATATACAATCTAGCAAACACAGATAGAGAAAAAGAAGAAAGAATTTTAAATTTTCCATAATTGTCTTCCATACTGTTGGCACGAATATCCATTTCTGTTTTAAGCATCTGTCTACCTCCCTGTCTATACACATTTTTTCTTTTTACAAGAATCATACTGCACAGAAAGCAGATCATTGGTTTGGGGAGATAGGGAGGGGACAGGAGGGAGAGCTCACAAAGAGCCCCGGGAAGCTTTCTGAGGTGATGAATATGTTCACAATCTTGATTGTGGAGATGGTTTCAAGGGTATGTACATATGTGAAAACTTATCAAAGTGTACATTTAAAAAACGGGCAGTTTATTGTAGGTCAGTTATACCTCAATAGAGCTGTTTTTAATTTTTTAAAAATTAAAAAGAGTCATACTTCACAATCTGTGTTGGTATCTGCTTTTCACACGGAACACAACATCATTAAGATTTCCTCGTGCGATGAAATATTCTTCAATTACGGGATTTGTAATGGCTGCCGAGCATCGCATCGTGTGGATGTGCCATGTTTATTTCACCAGGCCTCTACTCATGAACTTGGCTTGGCTTAAATTTTTTTAAAAACCATTTATTGAACACCCTTAAGGTAAAAATTCACAAGTACAATCCCCCCCCCCCCCCG